AAGCCACCAGGCTTGGACATGACATGGTGACCAAAAAGTCAAAAAATTAAAGTGTGAAATTTCAAATGAACATGGCAAATCACAACTAAACATGCATGCTCTCTACAGGGTAAACCCACCAGGCTTGGACATGACATGGCAAGAACCCACAATTAATGAAAATGCAACAATGAAAATGCAAAATTACTATGTGTACACTGTAGATTTTTCAAAAAACAAATCATATGCAAATACAACATATTTCAACTGAAACATATAACTTTTTCAATTCAAAAACATTCAAACATGTTGTGGTGAGACTTGGTGACCAAAAAGTCACCGACACCACATTTTTCAGTCCTCGGAGAGCTTTACCAGCTAACCCTTAAGCTAAATGGTTAGCAAATCAGCTAACCACTTAGTAACCTAGGGTTTGTTGAAGTGGCTAACCTCTAACAAACAAGCTAAGAGGTTAGATAAACGATATAAAGTTTATAGAGGTTAGCCTCAAACCTAGAAGTGGTTAGAGAGGTTATAAACCATTACTAGAAGTTATAACCTACTTACTAGAGCTTATAACTAGCTTATTGGAACTTATCTAACCATTTATAACTCTTCTAACCAATAAGATCTTCGCGGGACATCCCAGTAGTGTCGGTCGAGCGCACATGGCGGAGCGGCACAAACGGGTGGTCTGAGCTCCAATAACCCCTAGGCAGTCTGTATTTCGGCTGTGGGATACCTTGCAGCAAAGTGGAGTCGATCGAATAGAGGAACTGCCAAAGTTCAGGCAGGATGGTCGCCCATCGAGTGATGGTGTCCACTGGCAAAAGCTCTCCCTCTGCATCAGACGCCCACCTCTCAGAATGTCGAAGAACATATCCGAACCACTCTGGGTACTGCTTGCGGGCCACTTGTGGGGGAATGTGAGGGAGATTGAAGCGGCGGCCGAACCGCGCATAAGTGGAATCACCGAGCTGTGCACGGATGTATTCACACGTCTGCCCATAGGAGAGGTTTTCACGGCCCGCGACGTGCTTGGCGCCGGCACGGCAACCCCTCCTACGGGTGCGGTCTCTCTCCCCCTTTCCCGCGCCAATGGCAGCGGCTTCACCGACACCCAAGTCAGCCGGTTCCGGCTCGACGCCTGCGATCCGGGCTGACTCCTCGAGCGCTGCCTCCAAGTCGTACTGCTCTTGGATGCGTTGCGCAATCCCTTCTTCCACAGCGTCCTCAGCGGAGGACTCCTCGTCTTCACCAAGTGGATCAAACAGGTTATTAGTGGATAGGGGAGGACTATTAGGTGTAGATGATGCCTGGGCAATTAGGGTTTCGGGCGGCACGAACTCCTCGGGCTCCTCCTCCGCAGGGGCGAGATCGCCTTGGTCTGTCGGATTAGGGGCGTCCGCACTGGCCGAAGCTACCTCCTCTGGGACCGGATGGTCTTGATCAGGGGAGGGTTGCATATCTTGGGTATTGCCTAACGAATGCTCATCCACGGGGGGCCGGATGGCCTTCGGCCGTGGGGCTATCGAGAGGGTGGATCTCTTTGTCGCCGGGATAGTCTAGACCCGTTGGACCGGCGAAGGGCTCTTCAAGCTCGAGGTCTCTGTCTTCGTGCTCAATCACGGAAGGCGGAAAGAGAGTTGGGCCCGAATCAGCCTCAGAGGCTGCGCCTGCCCACTTCGAGCTCTCCGAACCCGCGCCTGCGGCAGCGGCTGGTGGGTCTTGGTTGTCAATGAACAAGTTCAAAGCATCGACGGCTAATGAACCAAGTTCTGACAAGGACGTCACCTCAACCTCTGCCTCATTCACGCCTTGCCCTAGCGAATCCGCGCTTTGAGCAGCGGCTTGCATGGCGGCTGCTGGCGGGGACCTTAGGTTAGGGTCAGGGTCACTACTTAGTCCTAGCGAATCCGCGCCGGAGGCAGCGGCTTGCGCTGACTCGGGACGGGGTGACCTAGGAGGCGTAACCCTCGGCATTGGGCCTAAAGGAGGCGGACTATTAGAGCTCGTAGGTTGGTTAGACCTACGGCTGATAACCAATGAAAGTGACAAGGGTTCCGGGATATCAGCCCCAAACAACCACCACAACCTACGGAGTGGGAGGTGTTGGGAAAGGTATCCTATTGTATGGAGAACCCTGGCACGGGTTGGAACACGACGGGGAACACCGGAAGGGTTGGTACCCGTTGTGTATGGCAGAGTGGGTTTGGGGAGGGGCACCTACGGCCACCTACGACGCAAACCCGAATGCACGAAAGGCACGAGTTGCACGGAACGGCGGGCGAGGTCGACCGACGTACCGGAAGCTGAAAACACGCAAGTGCTTGTTTTCTTGAGCCATGATGGGCATCGGTGTGAAACAATGACTTGTCGACCGACGACCGAAAACGCTGTACATGAACCCTTTATGACATGGCAAGTTAGGGGTTACCACAGTGTGTGATATTTTGACTTTAACAGTCAATATTAGCCTTCCAGTGGTCTCATGCATGCAGGTAATATGGTGATTTGTTTGTGGATCAACATCATCAACAGTCAATATTATATAGCCTCCCATGGGTTGGATTCCTGCCAGGAGGGGTACGACAAGAATGATTGAATTCCGACTCCCGCACATTCTCACAGGTGTCTTCAAGCACGAGCAGGTCAAGAAGCTTCATTGACAGGCTGGTCCCTAAAGACAGGTAGCTGAACCAGAACCTACACAAGGCAGGCACATGGAGTCTATTCCAGGTTGGTCTTGGTGATTTCTCTTTTGGAGGGCCTTTTGATGCCTTTTTGTGTGCTTCAGTGTGGGCGGCATGATATCTGAAAATTATTGAAAACTGAGATCTCCGAAAGTCTCTTTTGCCAGGCCTCGAATTCTTCTCTCCCTTTCCGAAGGTGATCTGCACCGCTAGGCCCAGGCATGCCAGCAAAGCGCAAAGGACATCCCTCAGCGTCTGGAGGCACTAGTCTGGATCACGTTGAAGATGTCTATAGTCAGTACTTTGATGACAGGTAAGCAGTTGATTAGCGAACGTTTTCTGTCTTTGTGGCACTATACCGTACCCACCTGGTAGACAGCTTTATCACACAAATCCCAGATCCCTCGCAGGTGGTCATGGACTCACCGAGCCTTCGGGAGGCCTTCGTCCTGGAACCTTTGCCCACCACTTCGCAACCCGGATCGAACCTCTGAATCAGTGATGATCAAAAGTAGGTAGAATATGAATGAATACCAGGGCCCCCGGGCCAGGGGTGTCCAATTATAGCTCCTTAAGGTTAAGGGATGTCCATTAACCACCCCAAACAGCGGGCCCTGGTATAGATCTGGATATCCGCGGCGTTTCGGCTATGTCCGCAGGGCCACAGGGAAGTGCCTGGACAATTGCAGGTGCTACGACAACGACATTGCTGTCTTTGGAAGAGTTGATGGGCACACCTTCTCTCTCTCTCTCTCTGTTTGTTCTGACGCATTCTTTCGCAGTGCGATTGATTCATTTTCTTCAGCGCAGGTTCTATAGATTCTTCATGATTCTTCAACGAACACATAGATGTCCTGGTATCTTCGAGCTGTCCTTCGGAACACAAGCGTAACCTTGCAGATGACGATATTCGTCGTGATACGGTGATACGTCTGAGAAACTGTCTGACAATTATTCTGTGGGTGAGTTGTTCTTAAAGTCGTACAGACCCAAACAGATCGGTGGGAAAAAACACTGCCACTCGAGCTGTTAGCCATAGACTGTGTACACCCGTCTACTCTACTCCTTTCAGTTCAGATGGTATTTTTGTTGAATCGCTGTGGCAAAAACTTGGCGAAGTGGCACAAGACCACGAAGTGACGAAGTGGTGGAGTGTGATAAAAAGCTGTGCCCCGCTGAGGCTGCAAGTTGTGAGCGGCACCACTAGCGGCACCAAAAAGTCGATGGGCAAATCCTGTGGATCGGCATATCACTTAACATCCAAACAGGTGGAAGTGTTGTCCACCTCGGCCACCCGGCCTTATTTTGTAATCATCTCATGGAAGACACTTTCCAGTTCACCAGACGGCTAATCAATGGGTGCGAATCTGTGCGAAGATAGGGCCATCAATGGGATGATTCGTCCAGACTTCCCCTACTTACACGTCGATAGGTTAACTGCACCGTCATGTCACCGAAAAGCAACAAACACAATGGAATCAACACATACACTTTTGTTTAACAAACACACCACCTCTGGCGTTTTTCCCCCTAGAAAACGAACGAGCACGCTGCAACTTCACCGGGTCACTGCTTGCACATCAAAAACACCGGAGTTTTCCGACCGGCCCAATGTGTTCGCTCGATTGCTGAAGCTCTCCAAGCTGCTGGAGCAGCGGCTCAGAGATCAAGGGCACATGGACACAGGGGATCATGCGGCCGACCTCGTGGGAGCCACATCGGACCCGGAACGGGTGCAGCCGACCTGGGTGTGGTGATTGAGGTGGTCAGCTTGGATTTTCCATATTATATAGTATTTTATATATAGGTATCATCACGGTATCCAAGATGCAGTTGCTTTTCTTGTTCTTTACCTTAAGTGTCTTGTGTAATTATTCTATGTATACATTTCTATACTATTTGTATGCTTTTGGTGGATTTGGTGTTTGACAGTATTGTTGGTGGCACTGCCCGGACTTCGTACATCGTGGATGAGCTCTGACTGGCAGCAAAATGGAGATGAAAACCACCAGCGAGCCTGCTGCGACGCATGCATGAGGACTTCTCATGAGTTGTAAAGGAATGTAAAGGAACATGGTTCCACCAAATTGGGATATTTGGGATATGCAACAACAGTATCAACAGTAACATGGTGAATAATGATGTATGTACTTTACATTTATATATATGATTTTGAATTTGGTGTGATATGTCTACTGATGTATGCTGTATACTGTATATATCTGTATTATATAAATAAGAAACATACGACGCAGCTGAGAACCCTAAGAAAGACTCCTTTCCTTCGTCGGCGCAAGCCACTGCCCTTCTCTGCAATTCTTAGGAATGGACACAAGCCACTGTGATTGCAGATCCTGCAGATCCGGCCCAACGACGCTTTTGGAACAACGACGTGGCTTCTTGATTGGAATCGTTTGCTCAAACCAATGATGTTTTTTTTTGCAAACATAGAGGTGTCGATTTGATACCATTTACATTTGATTTAATGTATAGTGGTCTTTCAAATTGATAGTGGCACGGTGTCCAATATAGTACAAGTGTACTTACAACCTTCTATCTATTTGGTGTATATTAATATATATATATACAGTATATATTAGTTGGTTCAATACGTTCAATCAACATATATCCCCTCAACCATGATCAACGGCCGTCCAACGCCCATCCATGGCCCAGTGGTTTGACCACACACCGACCCAACCTCCATGGCCCCCGACGGACGGGCAGAAGCGAATCGGTCGGTCTAACAGAACCCTCCCCTGTTAGGACACGATGTTAGTTTGGCAGTGTGTGCTTTCGTTCGACAAAACTTCAGTTGAGACCACAGTTTAAGATGCTTAAGCTTAGTGCTCATGGAATGAGGTGGTTTAATTGCGTGCAAACACGCATGTCATCTTGCACAGACCTCATTGCAAGGTCACACATCACTTGTGCACACAAAGGTAAGCAAATTCCCATCCAACACACAACGTCTGCAGCGTAGAAACCGCTTCAATGCACACGTATTGCTAACATATGTGTCGCTGTTTTCAGCACAAAGGAACCCACCCAAGTGGGTCACCAAATCTATGGAATTTCAGAGAGAATTGGGGGGTCATTTGTGAGAGCAGAAGGCACACACGCCTTCCAGCACAGAAGGCGCCATGCCAACGGGAGTGTTTAGCAAACCGAGGACGCAGCAGTCCTAGGAGACTCGTCACCAAGATGAAGAGGTATTTCACCTGCCGACATCGACGGGGTCAAGCGCGAGGATGTTGGTCGTTGCTCAAGCTGCGACGATGCGATCCTGACCAAGCATCACCATCTGTCAAGATCAAAGACTTCAAGTCATGTCGGTGCGAAGTGGAACAGGTACAGGGCTTGATTCGCGACCTCTTAGGAAAGAACATTCAGGCTCTAACCGCTTTTCACACAGCTGGTCCCTTAGCATACCGACATCTCTAAACGTCAGCCTACAGCAACACTCTTGACCACCATGAACGACCTCATGATTTACACCAATAACCTCACACATATTAATATACACACACACACCAACCAACCAACCAACCAACAAACATTGGTGTGCTTCGTCCAAGGGCGTCCGAACGTGTCCGAAAACGTCGGCCGCCTGTGAAGCGCTGGCAGCCCAAATGCCACTGGCGAGGCTCAACTGAAGCGCCACGGAGATGCCCAAGAAGCGCCACGGAGCCGCGTGTGACAGCTGTGCGTCCAGCAGCTGAGCAGGACATGAAACAAAGACCAGGAGAGGGGATGATGGGGAGTTTGGAATGTGCATTTCAGCTGGGTCCTAAGTCCTAAGCGCAATTGGAGCAAACTCCAGGTGGAGTTTAGGCTTCAAAGGGCTTTTCAGCAGATGTGTGTCGAGCTTTCATGTGGTGTATATATATATATATATAGAATTGGATTTGGTCTGAGAGCGCGAAATACTTCGTCAAAAGAATTCGTGAGTTGGTGAAGCCACCCTCTCCTTGGTCCATGCACAAGAGACCTAAACGGGGTGAAGCCACTCCCTCAAATTGGACTGGATCATCTGGATCCTACTCTTCTTCTTGGTGCAAATTCAAGAGCTGTGCCCCACTTCTTCTGGAGATTTGTTCAGTTTATATATATATACGTATATATAGCACAGGAACGATAGTGCAAATCAAGCGCAATGGTCTCCATTCTGCCTGAAATATGGAAGCCACAAAGACATTCAAAACTGGCTCTACAAGGTCTCGCAAACCAGGCATCCCACTCTCCGAACTGGTGTTTTAGATTGTTTCAGTCATTGTCATTCTAGTGTTTTGTGTCTGGCCAAGCAATGGTCTAAGACCCATTGGTCAACCTGGGTCCGTCATCAGCCGAAGTGGCAAGAAGCAAGACCATCGCTATAGCACCTCGTGGACCATCGCTTTGGGTAGACAGATTCACCAAGCTTCAACTGGAATGCACATGACAGATTGTGACAGGGCCTAAAACTCTGTCATGTGGACTGTTGATTGATTAAAAAACATATATGGACATGTAAAAGCTTTCTTGAAGAAGAGGTTAGATGTGTATAGTTTCAATCAGTTCAGTATTTGAACCATTTCCCAACAGCTGCCACTTGCTCGAGAGGCCCAGCCTTTCCTCGGGCCACGTGAGACGAACGAAAGTGTTTGTTCGCCACGCACCTGTGAAGAGGAAGCCCACGAAAAAGGCCAAGCACCTTTCGGGGTTTTCAAATGCATGATGAATTCTTCATCTGCACGACGGTGACAAGAACAGGTTCAGGTAGATCTGCAGTTGGATCAGCATCAATTGAGTCCGGCCACGTTTCACTCTACCCTTCCAACTTCCAACAAACCGTGGAAGACTCCCAAGTGGAATTCCAAGTGGCAACAGCCATCAACTTTCTTGCTTGTTGGATGGTCCAAAGATCCTTCCACTACCTGCTGCACTCTCCACTACGGCGTGTGGCGCCTCTGGATGGCTTTGCGTTCCATCCACACGGCAAGGCCTGGGCGTCTGGCCACGCTGCTCCGAGACGGGGTCCTGGGTTGGGTCTATCCGAGTCTACCAGGGCCCAGTGGATGATGATTAGTAAAGGCCTTGTTCAAAAAAAAGGTGATATATATATATATACATTTTGTTTACTGACTTGTTACAGGTTGGGGTATGGACAGACCCAAGGTATGGGGTATGGTTGTTGGAATACGGAGATCCCCGAACCAATTCACATCAAATGAACCAATGGGTTTCTATCTTCGGCCGTCTGTCTTTTGCCAGGGAGTCTTTGGGGGGTCATACACACCCACATGAGAACATAACAGCCATTTCCAAGGCATACACTGGTCACTTCCGCCGCCTAAAACGCCACGTGCGCGTCACGCTGCGACAGCGTTTGCCTGCCAAAGCAGTCCAAAGTAAGCAGCCCGTGCCCACAGCCAGCTGCTTTTGCCAGGAAACTGGGCGAGCAGGCGGTCGGCAGTGGACCTTGTCCAGGACAGTTAGGAGAATCAATCTCAAACAATCTATGCATGGAATATACACACTACTTTGAGGTGATTCTGTGATACTTTGAGATGTTGCATACAAACATTTATACTGTCTATAATATTGCAATATATATATATATATTTATAATAAGTATACTAATAATAATTGGTAAAACTTGGTAAATATTCCACACATGGATTGTTGTAGATTGCGATGCAGCAGCAATGCCACAAAAACGTTGGACTCAACTTCAGGATGTTCCAAAACTGAAACACTTGCATTAAGGAAGGTTCATAAAGGTTCACTGATTTTCTGACGATTGATGTCATGCATTGTTTCATCCTTTTTCCAATGCATGCGACGATAGGATGGTGTCCCCTTCTTTCAAGAATGACTCGCACCGCCTCGGTCCTTCACGTCTCCCGTCCACTTCTCCTCCCCGCCACGATCCGCCACGACCCTCGAAAACCGCGGGGAGAGGACCACGCCGCGAGACGAGAGCGGGCTCCGCTCCGCTCAGCACGCGCGCCTTGGGACTGGAGCCAGGCCATGCCAAGCAGCGCCTCCAAGCTAAAGGCCACGAGGCAAAGCAATCCCCCAAGCGCCTGGCGACTCTCAGCACCCCAAGCACCAGGTTTTGGGAGCCCCAAAAACCCAGAGTGGCCAAACTCATGGATCCGCTGCTTTCCCAAAATCCGAGGTCTCCTTAGACCGGAGACCATTCATATCATATCCACTCATCCTTGCACCGGAACCGACCTTTGCCCCCCTTAGGATCCTGATAGTGGGGGGGTGATGTCTTCCACCTCTTCCAGGTTCGTCGAACTCGTCCCCACCGACCGCCACGGGCCCCGTCCGAACGCCAGCGGACACTGGGGTCCGACGTGGACGACCCGACGAACCGGACGCCGCGGAGTCCGTCGGGTAGAGGTCTTTGGGACGTCGAGGACCCGACTCGCCACTCGGGCCATCCAATCCATGCGAATGAGTGAGTTGGTCCAATTTCTGCTCCCCGGGTGACGTCCCGGCATCGAAGCTTCCCCCCACGCACCCACACAAACCCCAACCTTCTCGTAAGTCCAATGCCCCTGGAAGGTCAGCAGCAGACCTCCCCAAGACCCAATGTCCAAAACATCTTTGCGACCAGGTTCTTGTCACTTGATTTCGCTGGCACACGCTGTTAATCATAACAGACTGCATGGAGGCAAATGCATTCCAAAACGACTTGTCTGAAGTCCTGGCATCGGATATCTTTGCGGACACTCTATACTTCTTCATTGTCACAGTGCCCAATTCACAGCGCACCAAGCACCACTCCGAAGCCATTCAGTGTCAGTGCGTGGCCATCGCAGTCCACGTGCGATGACGCCACACGCCATGGCAACATCGGCAATTGGACAAAAAGTGAGCTGCCGGTCTAGTCATGGACAGAACATACAGAACATTACGGAAGTTCCTGCTAAATGTAATCTGTTCCAACTTAAAGCCCATGCGTGGTCGGGATTTCACTCAAAGGCCAACTGCATGGTCCTTCCAGGAGTTTGTCGTTGCTTCATTGATGGCTTCGGGAGCATGAGCTTTTGGGTTTGAGAGGCACCTGTCTGTGATTTGCTCTCAAACCACAGATTGAGCTTCGGCTTTCCTGCCTTCCCTCCGTCAGAATCCTCGCAGCTTGGCTTCAAATCTGTCACCTTCTAAGCCACGATGGCAGGATGCAAAAAGGAACCTTTCACTCCCAGCTGTTGGCCTGAGTTTTTTTTCTGGCCATAAGCCTCATAACTTGGGGCTTCGATTTAAGGTGTGGGTTATTGTAGGTTGCCTGCAACCGGATATCAAGGCTTAACACCACAAATAAAAATGACCAGAACTGGGGCAGTCAATTGTTCCTCACTTGTGGTCCTCGTTGTTTACGCCGCCCGTTTTGGTGAATATCCTTATACTCACACGTGATCCGAATCCCACCAACACTGACCGTTTTTTTTCATGTTTTCTAACCCGGAAGTGAACATGGCGAGCAAGCGACAGTATGCAAGCCGTAGTGAGTAGTGCTTGTCAAACAGTGGAAACACAAACAAAGGGCTTTCTTCCATCCCAGTCAAAGCCATGCCGTGACAGGGATTGACAATGGTGCCCCAATAACTTTCACCTAGGGAGGAACCATCCTCATAACTACACAAACACATTTCAACATGAGTACAGTATATATCAACATAAAAAGCTTTAGATCGCTAGGAGTGCTTGAAGTTCGCCTCCAAAGGAATTCACACTCCCGACCTTGGATCTTTCAGGACCCTGGAAGTTCGCCGATGCCCCTTCTTTCCTAGCTCTGGGTCACACTCTGGCCCCTTGGTCGGTTGCCATCCCAACATGATCAAAACATATCACCGCGGAATCACAAGGATCTCAACCGCTTTTGTGGATTACCTCCCCACATCCCATAGGCTCTGTGTCCCAGAATCGGACCCGAGGTCCGCCGAAGCTCGGACCTGTCGCAGAAAAAAGCCTTGTGGTCGGGACCAGCGCCCTGCTTCTTCGCAAAACAAAGAAAAAAGAAAGCGCCCTGCGTCAGGCGGTGGCCCGGTGGTGTAGCTCAAATAGGGAGACTGACACCGAACGGCGTTCCGACCCGTCGGAACATCGACCAGTCTACCCTGCGGGCGAGAGGACTCGGGGGATCTCCGTCTGAACGACAGACACATCGACCGACGGGTTCCCGCGCCATCCAGAAAGCTGGTCATGGCACCCATCGGTCCCATGCCCATCACATCCTCGGAGCTTCCGCGGTGTTTGGACGCGTAGCTCGTCGGTCGAGAGGTTGGTGGGTCGGTGAGAGGTTGGTTTGGATCATATTGAATTGCTTGTTTGGGTTCAAAAATGTTTAAAGGCAGCAAACCTGTACAGTAAAAAGCCTTAGGATGAAAGCTGGGGTAGTCACTGGATGTGACTAGGACACACGGCCACAGATCTTTCGCAAATCACCTGGTCACGCTAGTCGCTCAGTCGGAAGCCTTCACTCAGTCTGTGTACCAAGCCAAAACCGCACCCCCGTCCTCGTGCCTTGCAGCCAAGCCACTGCCAAGCCACCCATTGCGCCCATACTGCCCATGTCTCCCATGGCCATGGCACCCATAGCTGCACCAGTACTTGGCATACCTGCTTGCTTTCGAACTGCAGACCCTCGCTCCGAAGAAAAAAGGCGGGGCAGGGCATAGGAGACACGGGAGGCTGGAGAAATCAACAGCTTAAAGGTGAACCCTGTTCCTCAATAGAAGATCCACTACAAGGACCATGCTATGGGTGTCCAATGGACTACCCTAGGTTCTATGCTGCTCAAGAGCTACTCAAAGGATTTCAAAGGTATTTTGTCATATTTTGTCACTGCAGAAACCTGATGAGGACGACATCATTGCATTCGTTGCAATCGCTTTATCTTTTGCCTTCAGACCCCAGTGAAAAGGACTTCCATACAACCAAGCAAGTGATACTGTTGACGTCAACCGTTGTACATATATATATATATGCATAATGATGCATATAGAATCATATAGACCCCGCAACTGTTGCTTTCTTCAATTATTCCACTGGTGAACTCCACAGAACCTGCCAATCAAACGACCAAAAGGGCCCCGGGCTGGGCGTGTTATTTTCCTGGAGGTCGAACCTCGATACGAACGTGGTGTGGAGCGAAAAGCAAAGGGTGGACGAATGATGTGCGAGGAAAAGCGCGGTCATGAGGGTGGATCCAGGTGGATCCCTTACTGAGCTCAAGTCTGTAAGAATAGACCAGCGGCTTTCGGAGGCGTTGGTTCGCCAAGAATCGACTGACGAAAAGGGCACTGAACCGAAGGGAACGGCACCGAGCCCACAAACGCCGTCCCCGGGGGCGTCCAACAAAGTGATCTGTGGCAGAACGCTGATCAAGGCTGGGTCACTGGTTGCAAATGGGGGGCAGAACAGGTCTCCAAAGCTGAAGTTCCAGATGGATACCTGTATATATATATATATATATATACCTGCCCAAAGAACCAACCAACTCCAAACTTCAAACAATGAATCAGCCTCCCAGTTGCAAGCCACATTGGATTACTATAATCATACTATAATCAGCCTCCCAGTTGCCAACATTACTATACTCATACTTGCACTCCACCTCCACTGTTTATTCAACTTTCCGACCAGCAGCAGGACAGCACCAGGGCTTCCCGACGCTTGCGGCTTGTTATCGTCATTTAACGTGACCGCAAAATTCACCTGACACGACATTCGGTCGGGAGGGTCTTTCGAAGACAACAGGCCCTATCCACGGCTGCACCATTGGTGCCCTCAAGGAGGGCCAGGCGTTCCCTGAGTGAGCAGCAGCGGCAGCAACGGCAGCCATCGCTTGTTCATGTTCGATCCAGCATTGCTTGGCCCTCGCCGTTCCAAGTCGTCCAATGCCAGATTATATATATCCAAATAGAACATGAAGACAACAGGCACATTGGGTAATCTTAGAGAAACTGGAAAACTACTATGTATAGACTCACTATACCTCAATATGATCAAAAGCAGCTATGAGTCATCAAATGATCTATGTTTTGCAACCCACGCAGGGTGTTTCACCGGGTGCAACTTGGCACACTGGATCACATGGGATGTTGATTGAAAGAGTAGCCAGTCACCGGTAGCCAGTCACCTGTCTGAACACATCTGAACACCCCCTCCTGTTGCCCAGTCTGGCCTCCGTTCCTTCCATAAAGGCCCCAACCTTGCAGTGAAAAGCACGGCGTCCCTTTCGAACATGTTGGATGTGTGTTTGCAACAAACACCCACCCCTTGTTGGCCACCAGACAGGCCTTGGTGGCTTTCCTATAGCGTTTCCTAATACATGCCCCAGCAAATGTTGAACGATCTTTCAGCAAGTGATGTTGAACAAATCCATATCTGCCAAACAATGATGGAGAGGTGCTACCTGGCTTCTCCTGTTGCTGCAGCCCTGTGTCAGTGTCCTGACCCGCCATGCATCTGTGCGGAAGTCCGTCATCCAGGCTCACCATGTCGCAGCCCACGCCGCAGCACCAGATATACAAGATGCACAAACGGCCGAACTTGATGTAGGGGTGTAGGGTGCCAACTCCAAGACAATTCCCCTTGGGCTCGAACGTCACAAGATGCTCAGCATGGCTGATGCTCACACCCTCTCCGAGGTCCTGAACTGGCACCACACCACTTGACTGCTCCAAACCCACCCCGATTCGAGACCTTCTCACCTCTCCATGCCAACCGCCAACTGCGTGGCCCACCCCACGCAGTTGGGCGCATGCCGCGTGCGCGGAAGACCGAGCCTGGGTGGCGTGGACCACCACGTCGCAGCCGAAGACCGAGCTCAGCTCTGGGCAGTCGATGTAGGCCATGCCGAGCCTCGGCGTCCAGGTCGGGTCGACGGTGACGGTCGGTTGTCCGGTGACGCGAACGTGGGTGACACAGAGGGTCGAAAGGACAGCCGAGATGAGGTGTTTTTTCTGAGGTTTTGTTTGGTTATTTATATGGAAATGGTGCTGAGCACCTTATGTGCTCCATGGAACATGGAACGGACGGATGAAAGGGATTTTGTTTAACAGGGATGGACTTTTAGGATTCTATATCAATAAGATGCAAGATGTCTTGTGTTTTGAATCAACAAATCCCGGACAAAAGAACGCCCCAACTGAGGCTCCTGGCTGCGGACTCACCTTCTTGATGGTGCCGCTACATCTCTTCTCTGTAAAGGCCTGGCCATCCCTTCTTCAGTGGCCGATGAATGCACGGACACCCGACCACGACCACGAGGAGATCATCGGGATAGCGTTTCACAGATCATCAACACAAGCGCCTTTAAAGGTTTTAAAGGAGGCAAAGAACGTGCTATGTTTCACCAACAATCACTAAGATGTCCAAACTTCTTCAATCTGGAACGAGTGTAACATTCACTAACATTCAAACATAATCTAGCAACATCTGGCAACACCAAAATGACCTCCTTCATGTTGTGATGCCAGAGTTCAGTTTTGATACAAGCACAAAACGTCGAGTCGAGGCCTTTTGGAGGTGTTGGTCGTCTTCTACCCGAAAACCCTCCCAAATCTTCCCAAAAACCTTTGAGAGATCTTTGGTTGACTTGAGATATCTCTTTCAAAACATCTGAGCATCCATCCGCCATTTCAGTGACCGCCTTTGTTGGTGCATAGGTGAGCTCAGGTATCGCCAGACCTGGGCACATTGCGCGTCATCCTCCTGAGTTTTTTAGAGGGAGCACCAGTTTGACCAGGCTACAACACATACCTTGAGTCTCCAAAGACCTTTTTTTTCTGCGTTTTTGTTTTTGGTCCAATATTTTTGCGTTTTTGCTCGAAAAACGCGTTTTTAGAG